ATTGGATTTGGACTCTTTGGTGTTTATCAGTTTCACATTGCACTTGTGAGACTAGATTCAGAACCGCAGGAGTCCGAACTGTGAGGCCTTTCATTTCAAACCTTTCCAAAAGACGGGGGGCGAGAAAAAGGCGAGTGCACATGGAGCACCTGCGATTTTTGTCTCCAAGAAAGATGGCACTCTCCGCTTGTGCATAGATTACAGAGAGCTAAACAAGGTGAAGTTTGGCTTCGGAGCGGTGTTAGGTATATGGGAGGCACATGGGATATATGTGTAGGCCGGAAGGGGAGGGCCGAAGTGGTGGAGTTAAGGAACAAAGAATTTAATTATGAATTTATTAGTATAGTGTGAATGGTACTGATATGTACAAGATAAAAAATATATATATATAATATAAAACGATCTTGATAAATTATGAAATTTGAGTAGAAGCATGTATACGTGATTCTAAACAACTTTTGTGTTTTATCTTTTTATTGAAAAGATCGATTAGAACTTATAATCGGATGATCTTGATTATTGTCGGTTTGATTCATTTTAGCAAGGCAGATTTTAGAGGCTGTTTTAACCCACGAAACGAGCTCATTTTTATTGGTTTCACGTAAACTGAAGTAAAACGTTATTATGCACACTTTTCGTGTTTTGAAATGTTTCGAAAAAAATCATCTTAGGGCAGTTTTGGTTCGTTTTCAGCTTCAGATTTTTCGATTGAGTTCTGTCTAGATTTTTATATCAAGTTTTTCTCTTAACTTGTTCAGTTTCTGTTAAATTCGTTCGCATGGTCTTATAGGAAATTTGATTCTGTACAACTTTCGTTCTTTGAGTTTTGATCAATTCGAATTATTTAAGTATGAAACGGTGTAATTTTATATATATATTTTTTTATAAGTTACTTATGATTAAATTATACTAACTGTATTTGTTTTGCAGGATGGTGGGTCTAACTAAATTTTTATGCAGGGCAGACCCATCATATTTTTTATTTCTATTTTGTCTATTCTATAATAAATTTATATTTCGTTGCGTACGGACCAGAAACTAAATGCCACTGTATCTCGGGAAACTACCCATTCGTCTCGGTACGGTTGGAACTACTTGTCTTGTCTCGTGATAAGAATTAAATGTATTTTTGTCTGTGCCTGGTGGACACGTGGGTGTTAAATCTTGTACTCATACCAGTATACCCGTATACTGACCCGTTTTGTCTCTTGGCAACTCGGGTGCGTTCTGTTTGAGCGCAGCTGAGCTTCCTTTGCAGGATTAGTTGAGGCTACCGTGGTGACGAGAAGTAACTAAAGTTTTTGGGCATATCTCTTGGATTTCTTTTGTTTTTTTTAGCTTAGGCTTGTTAGTAGCTTATGTATTTGTTATTATTATTATTTTTTTTATGGCTTTAGTATTAGAATAATTTGGCATGGTTTGTAACCGTACTTTATTTAAGTTGTTTTGACTAGTTGTTGCTACATTAATGTTGAGGTATTTGTTAGTTATGAATTTATGGTGGATGGTTTGGTTGGCGTTTTAGTTTTTTTTTGTTTCACCCCTAGGATTTGGATGATGGAATATTAATTGGGGTTTAGTCCTAATTTAATATTTAATTGTCCAAATTTTGGGGCGTGACAATTCCTTTGAGTTATATATATGTTTTTGCAAGATCTAGATGATTTTTGAAATCATCCTTTGATTAGCTCTGAGAAATTGATTGTTGATTACAAAAAGATGAGTGATTTTGAAAGAGGGTTTATTTTCTTTTCCTTTTAAAATAGAAATTGAGGGTTTTGAACCATATTGATTGTAGAAAGATGATTTTGAGGAGATTCTTCTAAATATTTTGGAGATGAATGGTTTTGGTGAGAAAACTTAGAAATTGGGTCTTTTTGAAAGATGATGAAAATCCTTGGAAAATGTTGTCATATTTCTTTTGTGTATCAAAATAAATGGATGTTCTGAACATTGTTTGTTTATATATAAATGACAAATTTTGTGAACAAAATGAGAAATGTTGTTTATTTTGGAAATTGTTGTCAAAACGTTGATTTAGTCTTGAATTGACTAAATTGTTGAGATTGCTCGAAATGTAGGAATTACGTTATTCTCTTGAATGAATTTGGATGTAAAAGTATATATATATATATATATATTCATCTTGTGGAATTATGTTGAAAAGAGGATTGGGAATTTTGATCACAATCGTATATTGTGTGGAACAATTGAATATGGAAGTAATGTTGCATTGCATTTTTAATCATACATTAGCATTTCAATTCATTGGACTATGTTAAGCTTTGGAAATTTGCATTGAGAAAAGAATGTTGGGAAATGGGTTTCATGAAATGGTTTTGGGGTAAATATAGTGGTAAGTCTTGATAAGCGGTGTAGATGAAATTGTTTAAGTTGGCCGGAGTGTCCTTGGTGAAAGACCAGAAAGTCACGCGGATAGATATCGAGCCTTCCGGTTAATACCGGTAAAAATGACAATTGGTAATACTCGTATAGTCTACTTGCAGACACCGACCTAGGGATTACCAGAGTTGTATTTACCGCTCCTTGAATTAAATTGATAAATTTTGAACAATTGAAGTTGCATAACGTTGGCCTGAGTGTCCTTGGTGAAAGACCAGAAGATCACGCGGATAGGCGTCGAGCCTTCCGGTTAATACCGGTAAAAATGACAATTGGTAATACTCGTATAGTCTACTTGCAGACACCGACCTAGGGATTACCAGAGTTGTATTTACCGCTCCTTGAATTAAATTGATAAATTTTGAACAATTGAAGTTGCATAACACCATTGAGCATGATGGTTTTAAAAAGATGAGGATGTGTTTTATTTTCAAAAAGGCATGTCATGTGCATTCATCTCTTGAGACTCATATAAAATGTATATACTTTGTTAAGAATTTCCTACCGGGTTTGATGCTCACCCTACCGGATTTTTGTGCAGGAAAAGACGTGGTAAATCCGCCCAATTGAGGGCGTGGAAATATGTGTGTTTAGAGCACTAAAGTTCTCCTTTCCTGTGATCCTATTTGTAAGCCAAGGGCTATGTATGTGTGGGTTTGAATAACCATTTTATGTAACCGGGCTTAAGCATTGGAAGATTGTAAACCCTTGGGGTTGCTTATTTGGTTATTTACTTGTTGTTGAATCAATGCAATATCGTATGAGGAACTATGATTATTATGTAATACAAGTATGGGAAGTTATATTTGGTTTTCCTTTAAGAGAGCCATGATTATTGCATTATCATTTGGTCTAGAAATTTGGGGCGTTATACGAGAGCAACAAAGAGCGAGCTGTATCAAGGAGATGGCGATGCTTGCGCTCAGCTCGACCATTTTGGGCAAGAGTGTCAGAACATGAAGACTGATGAATAGTGCCATGAGTAGCTAAAAACTTCTCAAACTCAAACAAGTAATACTCAGCCCCCAAATCAAAACGGAGAACTTTAATGGTGGTGGAAAACTGAGTGCAAATGATGGAGTGAAAAATAGAATATATTTTGTAAAAATCAAATTTTTGAAGCATCAAATAAACCCAGGTAAATCGACTGTAATCATCCATAAAAGACACATAATATTGCGAACCACCCTTGGTAACTATAGGGGAAGGACCCCAAATATCAGTATGAACCAATTGAAAAGGAGAAGATGAAATATAACTACTTTTATTAAAAGGAAAAGCAGACATTTTATCCAGTTTACAACCACGACACTCAGAAATATCATCAATGGAAAAATTGCCTAAATGTCCAAACCAAACTAACATCCTCAAACGATCACTCAACAAATGACCTAACTTAGAGTGCCAAATATAAAAAATAAAGAAGACTTATTGTTTAAACAAAAAGAAGATAATGTTGTAGAAGACGCTTTTGGAGGAACATGTAAGCTATCCAAGACATATAGTTCTCCAACTCTACATCCAATCCCAATCTGCCTCTTGGATACCCGATCCTACACAACACAATGAGAAGAAGAGAAAACTACATCAAAACCAGAATCAAATAATTGACTAATAGAAATAAGACTAAGTGGGAAGCGAGGCACATAAAATATAGGAGAAGAGACAAATGGAAAACCAAACTAACATCCTCAAACGATCACTCAACAAATGACCTAACTTAGAGTGTTAAATATAAAAAATAAAGAAGACTTATTGTTTAAATAAAAAGAAGATAATGTTGTAGAAGACGCTTTTGGAGGAACATGTAAGCTATCCAAGACATATAGTTCTCCAACTCTACATCCAATCCCAATCTGCCTCTTGGATACCCGATCCTACACAACACAATGAGAAGAAGAGAAAACTACATCAAAACCAGAATCAAATAATTGACTAATAGAAATAAGACTAAGTGGGAAGCGAGGCACATAAAATATAGGAGAAGAGACAAATGGAAAGATGAAATAGAACCAATAGAGTGTACAGGTATAGAAGAACCATTAGCTGTAGCAATAGTAATAGAAGAAGAAGGGGAGACACAATTATTGAGGAGGGATGCAACAGGGGTCATATGATGTGAACAACCAGAATAAAAAATCCATGAAGTGTGGATATTACCTGAAGGAGATGAACCAGACAAACCTAACTGAGTTGTAGTCATAATGAAGGCCTGGGATGAAATATTTGGATTACCCACCATGAAAGACTTAAATTGCTCAAACATAGACTGCATATTAGAAGACGGAACATTATCAGAAACTAGTGCATAAAAGGCAACGGATGAGCGAGATCCCGAAGATGTCAGCTTAGAGGATGGTGAACCAAATGAACGACCCTTAGGTTACAAAAGTTTAGGACAAACACGCTTCCAATGGCCTTTCTGACGACAGAAGCTGCACTCATCCATGGAAACTCGTGGCTTTGGCTTACCAATAACCTGAAATAAAGGAGAAGGTGGGGTCGGCAAGAACGGAGGAGTGGCAAAAACTAATTGGGAAGCAGGAGCACCATGAGCCACCTTAAACCAAGTTTCTTCCACAATAAGCTCACAAACAACACCATCCATAGAAGGCAAGGGAGACCAATGAAGAATAGCTCCTTGAAGTGGCTCAAATTGATCATGAACGGCCATAAGAAATTCAACAAGATGTTGCTTCTTCCGATGCTTGGTATAACTATCAAGTAACTACAAATTTGACGGTTCCATCCAAGAAAGTTGATCCCAATAAGTAGTCATCTCATTGTATAATTCTTGAATGGACTTATCTTTCTGACTAGCACTGCGAATAGACATCTGAAGTTCATACTATTTTGTAAAGTTAGACTCAAGGTACATAGTTTTCAAATAGTCCCGAACTTGTTTAGAAGTAGAATACTTGGAAAAATTCATACCATTGGTAGTTTGAACTGAATTATGAAACCAAGTAAGAATTTGTGCATTTTCCTTATCCCATTTAGCAACATCGGCCTCAGTTTCTTGAGATTCCGTAGGTCTAATAGTCACACCAATCATATAGTTCCACATGCCTTTATCCATTATAAAATTTTTCATTACATGAGACCAATAAGAGTAATTGGTACCATCTAACTTAGTGATGATAGCTTGCAATTTATCATCAACCATAGTAATATAATTAAGCAACACAGTAAAACCAAAACAGAGTGACTAACCAAAGTTGCAATTGCTATAATTATAGAACCAATTAGATTAAACTTATAATAACCTTGTCACGACAAATATCAATCAGAGAGAACCAAGGCAGAGCAGAGAGGGGGAGAGAGAGAGAGAGTGAACCTAAAACCAGAAGTCGACACTTTGATCGTGAGAACTAGAGCAGCCATACTTGGCCATATTCGAGCTCCTATTGTTCAAACCCTAACCCTAAATGGGTCGAAATCAAGCCTTTGCAGCACCATCTAATCGATGTCATCTCACGACAATCATTTCACCAAGGAAGAGGTCATCGACAGAGTCCTCAACATCGTCAAGAGCTTCGATTGAACCAGATGATGGGTCAAAACAAGTTGAAGAGCACTCGGTTATGTGAGACACGCAACCTAGGGCTCTGACACAACCTAGAGACCAGAATCAGCAACCAAGAAGAGCGTAGTGCTTCAAAGTGCGACGAAGAGAACAGAGAACCCCAACGAAGGCCTTGCAAAGAGAGAGAGAAAGAGAGAGGCTTCGATGGTCGACAATGACCTGCGAAAGGTATGCTAACATCTAGGTCGTGGCTCTAATACCATGATAACAAACTTGTGTATTGTTTAATTGAATGATCAATCAATGAGTACAAATATATATAATCTAATAGAATCAAACCCTAACAACCTTAATGAATAATATAAACTACCATAACTCACACATGATTAATAGTTCCCATCTCTGAAATGCAGAAACCACAGATAGTTCTAACATTCCCTTGTAGCACACTAATCCTTTGCAAAAAGAGAAAAGTTTTTACTCTCCATTTCCATGCCAGCCACCCAAAAATTGAGCTTTAGGAGGATTATTCCATATAGTGAATCAGTTGCTAAAACACTATATATGAGAAGAGAGCACACTCTTATTATAAATTGAAGACACGAAGAGCTGACCTAAGGAATGGGCTTTCCACCTTAAGCAGTCATCATGATTTAATAAACACCAGGTAGCTGAATTAAGGACAAAACAGAAGCTTCATTGAGTTATACACAAACACACATGCAGAGCAAAAAAATTTACAAATTTATTCAAGAATATTGACAATCATTCCTGATGGAATAAATTTTTATACAATGGCAATTTTTTTGTGTGAAAACAGTGTACATATATATATATATATATATTTTATGAAGAGTTGACAACTTGCTGTTACTAATACTCGACAACATTGCTAATATTCACCATCGTCATCATCGTCAAAGGCATCATAAAAGTCAAAGTCATTGTCACCATCATCCCCTATGCAGTAATTAAAGAGAAAGTAATGTGAACATTTGACAAAAAAATTTGAAGTAAACAATTTGTTTGTAAATAATGAACATAGCCGTGAAAATTAATGTCAATAGACATCAGTCTATTAGTAAACAATTACCGGTGGCATGAAGCATATCTTAAGAATATGTGTATGCTATTAGTCCTTAGGGTAAATTACAAATACACTAGATTTGTTTAAAATATCGATTACTCTTGTAGTTTTAAAAATTATAAATATTTTTTTATTAAAATTTTTTATTTAACAAAATTAATAAAAAAAATAAAATTTTTAACTATTCTCCTATACAATAATAAAATTACTTGAATTATTAATTAAAATATATTTCTAATATCGTTAAAAATTGTTAATTGACTTAATGATTTATTAATAGAATGAGTCAGTCGTTATACAACGGAAACTTGAAGAGGCATGATATAATTTTTTAGAATCATTAGAGGCAATTTATATTTTAAACAAACCTTGAAAGATGTATTTGTAATTTGTCTTATTTTTTTGTATCCTAATTCTTAAATACACTTTTTTTTCTTTTGATAAAAAAAATACACGCTTCGAATTTTTTTTATTTTATTTTTATTTTTATTTTTATTTTTATTTTTTTGAGAACGAATTGCATCTTAAGATTGAAATAGAGTTTGTATCATATGCCTTTTATTATGTATTTATTTGAAATTATGTATTTTTATAATAAATATTATGTAATTTTGTACCATATGTATTTTTTGGAACATCACTCGTCACTCGCTCGCCACTCCTCGTAGACTCCTAAATCTTCGAATCACAGCCATCCATCGTCCCTGACTCCACCGCCACATCATCGGCCTTGACATATAGTGGCGACCCAACAACCGTTTCCACGATAACCCCACCGCCACTCTCCAACTATGCGTCAGCCGTCGATGCCTCATCTTCCAACTCATCTACTCCCCCTAAATACCCTAATCCCTCTTCGACTTCCTCAACAACTGTATCTACACTTTTGTGGGTGTGGGTATTCACAGCGATGTCGAGAAGTTGACTAAGGATTATGGGTTGTCTGTGGCCACCACTGTTGATCTTCGCTCTTTGGCAGCTGACTGCGGCATGATCAAGCTTCGTAATGCGGGGTTGAAGAACTTGGCGAGAGAGATGCTGGGGAAGGAGATTGAGCAGCCCGAGAGGATTACGATGAGTAGGTGGGACAATGAGTGGCTCTACCCTGAACAGGTTCATTATGCTTGCATTGATGCTTTTCTTTCTTTTGAGATTGGAAGGTGTTCGAATGCAGTTGGGTTTTAGATATATTAGGAGTAATATGGGTTTAACTTTGTAATTAGGGATATCTTGCTTTCTGGGGTTTGATGGAGATTTGGTATGGTTTTGTTTATTTGGGGATCTCTGTTTGATGGATTTGGATGGTTGGTTTTGTTTACTAATTGGAGAAGTTTATTATGATTTGCAATTTGGGTATCTTTGATGATTGATTGATATGTTCTCTACTTCTATCTTGTTTGGAAAATACATGATTGTTGATTCCTGAGTTGCATTGTACTAACATACAAATGGTCCCTTATTTCTGTCTTTAATTAGGAAAGACATTGTTTTGCTTAGTTACTAAATTATTTGTATAGCAACTCAGGCCATACAATATATGTTGGAGGTAGTGTGGATCCCGAATTTGGAGCGAGTATTTTTAGTATTTTTGCACTTGTTGTGCACTTTCTATGTATATGGAGTTGAGAGTGGTTGGGGGTTATCTCTTTTTTTTATCATATTGAGATGGTAGAGACCATGGATGCAACTTTAGTTTTGGGGTAAATCTCATGTTCGCGTGCATGCGTGTGATTTACAATTCTTATACATTTGTTTTCCTTTGTGTTTTGTGTCTCACTGATCATGGTTAGGTGTTTGTCATGAATTCCTAAAATATGATGTGTACGAAACATTATGGTGGTCATAGTGGATGATGTCAAAATGATAGTTATGAGAGGCATAACTGAATTGGTGGCTCAGATTTGAGGGGATGAAAAGAGGGACTAGTAGAGGGAAGGGATGTGAAGTAGTGGTGGAGTGCGATCAATGTTGTAAAAGGTGTGCCTAGGCTGAAGGCGCAGTGAGGCAACTCATGTGACTTGTACATGGCAAGGTGAATGCCCATTCAATGAAGTGCATCAAGGCACACTACTTGCATGCTTCATTGAAGATTTTGCATTTCTTTTTCCTTTTTAATACCAACTTTTGATTTTAATTTTTTGTAACATATTAGACTTATATATGCTGCCACAAAGGATTGAAACTCTTCTTCTTTTTCTTCACAAATCTAGGATCTATTTTTTTTCCTCCTCCCTTATTTTTGATTGTCTCTTTCTTTCTTTCTTTCTTTCTTTCTTTCTTTTTCTTCTTCTTCTTCTTCTTCTTCTTCTTCCATACCTTCTGGGTTTTTTTTTTTTTTTTGTGTGTGTGTGTGGCTAGGCTGCTTCTTTTTCACATTGTTGCTTCTATTTTTTTCTCATCTGCTCTAATTTTTCTCATCTTCTTTTACTCCTTCATCTTTTTGATTTGTTGCTCCTTCTAGTCTACTTCTCTTCTGAAGTTTTTTTAAACTTTGCTACTGTGTGATTGATTAGTTTTCTTATTTTTTTTTTTTTTGGAAATTTGTGTTTTTGTGAATCTTGATTATTCTGCGTTTGTAACGATATGTGCTTTTATGGCTTTGGGAATTCTTCTACAATTTCCCTTATTTTTTCTTTCTTCTTTGTCTCAGTGTTTGAATTCTTTCTTTTTTGCTTACGTTGAAGTTTGAATTATTAGGCTATATTGATTTTTATCTATTTTTTTACTAAAAAAATGTGCCTTGCTTCAATGACGTGCGCACCTTATTTTGCGCCTAGGCCCCCAATAGACCTTTGGCGCCTTGGTGTGCCTTGAGCCTTTAAAAATAGAATGTAACATCAATAATGGTAATTAATAGTGGCAGAATACCGGTGTTGTGGTACTAGGATTTTTAATGATAGGATGAGGTTTATTAACCAAATTGTCAAATATTTGAATTAGGCAATGTGTTAATAATTTTTTTTTTTTGACCAGGAATGTGTTAATAATATTACCATGTGGCTCATTGATGGATTACTAGGAATTGATGATGACATCTTTTGGAGTAGGGTTATTATCAAAAAAACTTGTTTAGCTGGAGAGAGTTGATTAGGAAATGGAAGTCCGAAATCCAATAGGATTACTTGTAGTAGGCAGACCCCACTTCGTTTTCAAATTGAGAGTTTAAATGCAGGGAATTGGAATAATGAGTTTATTGTGGAAGTATTGGAATATGTAGTATTGGACCCTCCCTAAACCTGCCGAAAGAGACCAAAACCGCCTCCCTCATAGGACCACCATATCCAACTATAATGAAGTAGGTAGATTGTTTGTTTTGCAATTTACTAGAAAAGAGGAAGTTTTGAGGAAATTAGTGGATCTTGAAGCAAATGATAATCACTTCCAGATGGGTGATGCCGGGAACCTTCTGAACTCAAATTTTGTGAGTTCATCATAAGGTATAGTCAATGAGGTATTTAGGGAATTTTTTATTTTTTATTTAGTCTTTTGTGTTCTTTTTTTGAAGCGGGAATTTGGTAGATCTTTGATGGGTTGGGTTATCCTCTGCTGTGGT